AAACAAATAAAAATAATGAAAACTTTTAAAAATAGAGAGAGAGTCACTATCTGAGTCTTTTGCATGAGCTCAGAACAATTGTTGCTATTCATAATTAAAAGCATCTAGCTCTGTATTTTTGGTTTTTATGTAAATTTGTTTAGAACTGAGATGGTAAAAAATTCCCACCCAACAAACATACATTTATAGAAATAGTCACAGCATTACCATGCTGCATAATATAAAAAAACATCCATTTTATGGCTGCACAATTTCCTCCCCATAATGCTGTGTGCCAGCAGTAACAAATATGAAAGCAGATCGATTTAAAGTTCAAGTTAAGTTGCATGAGTTTCCCATGGTGAAGCAATTACTCCCTCAGAGGCTCTCATTTTCTTTATCACACCATGAATTCCTCAGGAAACGAATGTGCAGTTTCTACCATGTGGATACTTGTGTTGCAACAAAAAACCTCAGAAAGAGTATTTAAGGATAGACATTTTTCTCTCTGTGGAGGCTTCCTAAATTTGAAGTTTGACCTCTCTACAGTCAAAAGCATTTACTCTTAGCAGAATCATGTTCCTATTAATCTAATCTAAGCCATCCTTTTCCCTCTAAACTCAGAACTTTTTTATTTGTCAATAATATAGGTTGAACTTTCCAGTAAAAGCCTGGGGTGAATATAATAACTCTACATATATTGGGGTGCACTGAAGTGGTATCACCAATGTTTTATATATCTAAGAGCTGGAAATCTACATCATTCCTAAACATTTGTATTATTCTCTGCCATATCCCTCTGAAATGCATGGGAAACATTGATTTCAAACCTGTCAACAGGCTCAAAATCCATCTTCTCCCTTGCAGCACTCAGGTCTTTGGACCTTCAATTTCCAGCTGAAGCCTTCCTGAAGCCACAGCTGGGAGTACGGTCTCCACCTGTTTTTTCCTGTCTCTCCTTAGGGGGCAGAGCTCTGCAGATCTGCTCTGCCTTCCACAGCAGGATTACTCTGCAGAGAAAAAATCCTTACTTAAACCCATCAATTCCAGCTGCCATTCTTGTGGGTATTCCACATGGGGTTTGGTGAGAAGAGAAAAAATAAAGTAAAAACCAGTAAGACTGAGATTATAGAATTTCACATTGCAAATGCACATTGCATAAAAATGATAATGGTTTTATATCCAGTTTGATAAAGATATCCTTGAGCATCTTCACTGGACAAGAAGAATCATAAAACTTCTGGTCAAAAGAAACTATTAATTATAACATTGTAATATTGTGATAATATTGATTCATTTAAGTTCGCCATTCCTTCATTTTTCTGCTAAATATTATTTATTTCCTTTTCTGTATCTTTTTCAATTTAGTTGATGAAAATTCCAGAAAACTCATCTGATCAATTAATAAAAACTACCATTTTATTTTCATTCTCACATTCATTAGACATTATATGAATGCATGCTTTAGAGATTTGATTTGCATGAATCCCTTCTTTCTATATGTTTCCCTATAAATTTCTATAGGTAGCTGGGCTGTTGTTTTTCTGTGTGGCAAAAGTAATAAATATCACTTCTGCATAGTGTTTCCTAATGGCTCAGATGAGACTTCTGAAGGCAATAAGTTGGTATGAAACACTAGACTCAAGGGCTTGTGTGGAATTTGGGCATGTGAACATGAGTGCTGGATGCTGCAGGGTAACCTTTCTCCCAGCCATCTGCACTAAGAGACAAGAGTGGCTGAGAGGTGGGAGAAGGAACCTACTATCAAATAAGGATAATTTTTTTAATCCACTTTTTACATTAAAATTATGTGCATGCACACATACACACACAAATATATATACTCACATAGACCCATTGATTAATTTTCCAATTTTTGTATGCTATTTTCAGTCGTGGTTGCCTATAGAAAAGAAAACCAAATGAAGTCCTGAATCAAGATGCAGAGGAAGAATTATCACACCTGACAGAGCTGCAGCAAAAGAGTCAGGATCAGGGAAAAGCGTGAGATTTTACTGGGACACGTGGCTCAGTGTGAGTACAAGAAAAGAAGGAAAGAGCAGGAGACACTCTGTGGAGTCAAGAGGGAAACAAGCACAATGAGGCAGAGCTGCAGAAGGCTGTGGAGGAGAGAAGTTCAAACCCAACACAGCAAAAGACAGGGTCAGCCCAAGAAAGATATAAAGTCTAATTACATCCTCAGTGTTATTTGAATTACTTCAGCAGAAATATCACAGGTAGTATGCCCACTTCATCACCAGTTAAATAATTTCTAAATTCAGACATTCCTATATGTCTGTCCCTGAAATCAATGTTTGCAGCTGAATAATTTCTGCTTTATTCGTTCAACCATCACCTACTTTTCAGCTTTGGAATTAGGACCAATAAGTGTATACAATTTTGTCCAGTAGGAAAAATTAACATATTTCCTTCTCTTCAGAAAGAAAATAAGTTATTTCCACACTTTCCATGTAAAGGAAATTTGAAAAAATAATTCAGAAAAACAAATATTTCAACTTGGTTGCATGGAAATTAAATTCCACATCTTGCTGCTCCCTGGGGCAATTCGCTGATGCAAATGTGCAGCATCCCCAGGATTTGCAGGTGAATGATGGGGCTCAGCTGCAGGCAGTAGGAGGGTTTGCCATATCTAATCTACAGGTCATAAGTGGCCTGAAACTATGTTTGTTTGAAATCTGAACTCCCAGCCAAACTCTGCTCTGGTGAAAATGCATCAAAATCATTCTATTTCCATCAAAGTGAATCTATTTCCATACAATACTTCAGTTTTGACAAAACATCATTCTCCATATAGAAGAACAATGCAAAATTCCTGACAGGTGTTTTGCAGAGGACTGAGCTCTATAAGAGCAGATATCTGTGTTTGCATGTGGTTATTGTAAGAGAACTTACATTTTAACATTTTCCTGATATTTAATAGGGAAAAAAAAAACCCAAAAAAACTACCTTCCAGCAATGTTATTTTTTCTTTTAAAAGAATATTCATCAGCCCTCTTACACCAAAAGTACAATGGTGGACAGTCTTAATATGCACTAAATCATAATTTTATTGCAAATGTAAATGATAAGAGACAAAAGGAGAAAAGAGCATATATGTCATCTTGAGGTACAGCTGAAACTACAGCTTATCAGTAATTTGATAACTGGTCAACCAGCAGTGCTCACTAGTTCATGACTATTATCTACATGTTTTCCCATTTATTACATGCCAGCTGAGGCCAATTTTCAGCTGGGAACTATAGCAGCTGTCTCTGTGGAAAATAAAGGAATGTCACTTTAAATTTCTTTGCAGCATGACAGAAATGTCAGCTTCATGCTGGAAAAATACAGTGATACACATTTCTTCTGACCTGAACACATTGCATCAAATCACATACTCATGAAAATGTCATTTTTGACTTTTTTTTCTTTTTAACCAATTTCCAACCTAAAAAAATTTCCTCATCTAGCTACATCACTGATCACCATGTAAATTTAACACTGACCTCTTATACGATATTCTGAAAGCTTTAAAGATTTTATGTTTTTGATAGTATCATTTGCCATTGAATAAATTTTGATAGAGAAGGCAATAAAGAAAAGGAGGAAGGAAGGAAGGAAGGAAGGAAGGAAGGAAGGAAGGAAGGAAGGAAGGAAGGAAGGAAGGAAGGAAGGAAGGAAGGAGGCAAAATCTGTTTTCTGCTCTCTTCACAAGCTGCATCAACAATTCTCTACTTTTGAAGTCTGTTTTCTCCTCAGTCTATATAATCACACAAGCTATTGCTGTTTATCTTATTTTTGCCATTGACATGTTTGATCAAGTGTACAGTAACAAAATATTAGAGATAGCTGATCTTTTAATAAGTATTTCTGGAACAATTTGCTTATTCTTCCATCATCATCAGCCACTATTCCGCCTGAAGTTAAACTTGATAAAGAACTAGAAACCTAGCCTTGTTATAAAATATCCGGCACTAAGCTGTTGGAAAGAAACACAAAAAGGTCACATTTCATCAGGCTTTAATTTTCCATTCTCATTTTCAAAGAGACTCATCTCTGTATTCTTCACAGAAGTATAAAGCCCTCCCTACCTCTGATAATCCTTTTATGCTTTCACATTAATATAACAGAGTACAGAGAATTAATTATTAAGTACTGCTTATACAGAGCTGTAAATATACACTATGTTACAAAACTTAAGATAAGCAATGGCTCCATTCCTAATGAGCTTACTATAATTAAATTCATTGTTGAATCTACATATAAAATGTAGCTAGGAGTCAAACAACACGGGAAAAACCTTTAAGCCAGGTAGATACACAGATGTGAATCTAACTTGTTCCTGGGTTATGAAAATTAATAGCAATTTAGGTTGGTTAACTATTGACTCACATAATTCACTGAGCTTTTTGGCAAGTATCAATAAAATGTGGAAGTTGCACATTATACATACACAGGGGAGTTGAAAAACTGACCTGAGATGTCTGATGATCCATAATCTATGCAAAGTGTGAGGCTATTTTTTTCAGATGAATATGCTGGATATTAAAAGTATATAATGGTATGCTTAGAATTGTAGTCACATTGCTTCAAATCAAGATTCATTCTACCTTCAGACCTCAAATGAAAAAAATCCCCTCCCCTGCCCACATTACAACTCACAGCTGTGGTATAGTTGTGTGTTTCTTTGTCTGAAAAGTGGAATCCCTCTAGGAATCAGTTTATAAATTAACTGTGTGTCTTTCTAGGACTGTTTATGTTTACAGGGGGAAGGTATAGGAGATCAAGAACAAAAGAACCAGAATTAAGAAAAAAATAAAGAAAAATCTGTAATGCTGAGTCTTGGTCATAAACTGATATTTAAGAATTGACTAGGTACAGTAATGTGTATACCCATTAAATACCCACTAAATAATAATAATTTAATTGTTTTCAACATTAAAAGGAGAAAAAAAAATGTTTCCTATTCCCAAATCCAAATGAACCTATTCTCAAATATAACCTCACATACTGTCTTTTAGGTTGGCAACCATTCCATGTCAATCTCATGTATAGGAAGACTTTCATGATGGACTGATGAACAACTTCCCAGAAAGGAATCCAGTCTCTTCTCTGCATCATGCCCATGAGGTTGCTTGAGGTAAAAAGTTGTGATTGGGAGCTATCTCTAATTTCATTTTGTGAGCAGAGCTGATTTGTTTATAATTAATTTCGCTTCGTTTGGTGCTCCACTCACTTCAATTGAATGTCACCTCAAATGTCTGCTTTTTGGGGTTTGGGGTTAAAGATGAAGGCACACAACCCTTTGCACAGTAGAAAGAAGGAAATGGGTCATCTCTGTGATCAGTTTCTTTTCCTGTCCCAAGTGTTCAAATCACCTGGTGGGATGGTTTGGCATGGCAAACCAAACAGCCACATCCCATAGCTGCCCTGCTGGCTGGCTCTGTGGACAGCCTCGGGGCTGAGCAGACAAGGGCAGGCAAGGTGAGAATTTTTAATCACAAATCACAGCTGTCTTGATCTTGATACAAATCAGCACAGTAGAGACAAAAGACTTTGTGCACACACACACCATCCACTTTACTGGGCACTATGCACCAGCCAAAGTGCCAGGGGAAAAAAATCCTAATTGCTGGTTTCAGCAATAAAGCTTGGCAACATACTGTTAGGCAGGGATTTTTGAAGGCTAACCTTGAAAATACAGGAATGTATTGTCCTACTCTCAATATTGCTCATATAATTTCTGCAGGAACCATGCAGCATTTTTATTGCTAGTGGATTATCTCTAATGGGAGAACCTCTAGATTCCTAGTGTTAAATACAAATTCATACATTTCTTGTTTATTCGCAGCATATGTTCCTTTGCTATAATACATGACACACACTGTGTGATTCTTCCATAAAACAGATGCTACAAGAAAGCCAAAAAGCATGAATTTATCTTTAATGTTAAAAATACCCGGAATAGCAGAAAAATACTAGATGCAGAAGAATGCTAGATGCAGAATCAAAATATCTATAATTTTCTTGAACAGTGTCAATTGAAAAGCATTTATGTAATGAGCTGTGATAAAGATGGACTCAACTTTAAGAAGTCTTTATTTTCAGTTAAGGGTGTTTTAAACCATTTAACTTGACTCTTTAGGATTTTGTATATTAACTGCACTAGTATTTAATTTTTTATTTCCTCAGGAATTTACATATATAATAGTGTTTATATAATAAACTCTAAATCCAATTCACTAATTTAAAATAACTAGTCTGACATATTTAGATTTTTAGATTTTCACAGTTATTATGAGGAATTGTTTTCTGAGAGTAGATACTTTTGTGTCAAATACTTTCCTCTGTTAATTAATGTTATTATTTAAATTTCACTAGCATTGATGTGGATCTCCTTGAATTCTTGTTTGTAATTGTTTTGCCTTTAGCACAGAACTCATTCTGCTAGTCTAATAGTTATAATTTTTCTGGATTGCCATGCCTTCTCACAGTGACAGACAAACTGGTGGGGTCAGTGACATTTTGACTACTGTCAACCAGCAGAAGTGTAATATAAACTGGATGTTTTTCCTCTTTTAGAGATAGGCCTGTATAAACTAAGGGTCACCTTGCATCACCGTTAACCTCTTTTAAGATGAATAAAAGTGAAAAGAGCTTATGTTTTCATTTTTTCATGAAGTGATTGATTAGCTGGAGGAGCTGCAAGATTCCTAAGAAACAGTCCATCCAACTTCTCTTGATTCATCAAATCATGACAGGCTTTTTCAAATGAAAGCAGAGACAGTTTATCTCTTTGGGTAAGAGATCTTCATGTGAACTTGACAGGGAGTATCATCACAGTTCCTCTCTGAAAGCTTAGATGAATTACAGTATCTGACATTTCACCAAAGTTTTCTTTGTGTACTTAGAGATTTTTTTTTCCTAGATTCCAGTTATTCAGCCTGATTTGAATAAATTTTCTGTGGGAAAAGGAGAGTGGAAAAATGTTTTTTGTCCTCTTTTTTGAAAAAAAAAAAAAAAAAGAAAAAAGTTGCTGTTTAATCTGTTGTGACCCGTTTCAAGTGCAGACAGAAGTCAGTTTTTTATCAGAGATAAGATGTTTCTTCCTGTTCATACTTTAGCTGACAGATTTACTTCCTATGTGTATTGAGCTCATATTGGACATTTCTAACTAATGGAACTCCACTGTAGCTCCTGTAGAGGTGGAATGTGAGCACCACACCTCAGTCAGGAGTGCTCCAAGCATGGGAGTCATGGGAATGATGTAATGATTTTCTGTATCCTTAAATGAGTGGCATCACTGTCCAGCTTCCATGAGATAAAATATTAAGAGCTGCTTCAAAATTAAAGGACTTTTTCAAATACAAATGATTTCCTTCTCTGTTGTTCATTACTTTTATAAGGAGCACACCCTGGGAACTTCCATGTGGTACCAGGGGCTCGCTGAGCAGCTCATATCCCTTTGCATCACAAAATGCAAATGATCAGCATGAACAGCTGACCATGTATCTATGCACTTCCTGAGCACAGGAATCTCACAGGTTCCAAGAAGAGAAGGGATTTCTTATGCTCTGTGAACTTGTGAGAATGGATTTGGTCAAAAAAGAAATCCAATGCAATCTGAGTCAATAGCTGAGTGTAGAGGCTAATATAGAATAACAGATTTATTTTATTTTATTCATCATTCTATTAAGCATTCTACTAAATATTTTCAGCCCACTAAGAGAAAAGAAAGAAAAAAATAGCAAACAATATAACAGATATCAAGCTCAAAAGCCCCCACTATCTCAAATTCTGAAATTCTTTTTAGTGGAAAATAAAATAAACTCATGGGCAGCCCAAAACTTTAGAATTATCCTTCTAAATATCCAGTTAATGCACCCATTAAAAAAAAAAATCTACTGTGGGAAAAGAGTAACCATGATTAAACTAGGTGATGCAGTTAATTTTTCATCCTCATTAATAAGTATATTTTTATAACCTGTTTATTATATGCAATATATAAACTTTCCTGAAGATAAATGAAATTTGCACTTTACATATATGGGTCTAAGTAAAAATGATACCTATGGGTGTAAGCAAAAATAATACATTTTCCATTATATGAGCCAGGACTTGAATCTTTAAACTTTTGAAGAAACAAAATTAAATACAACCCCTTTCCAATGTTGCTTACCATATCATATTCTTGTGCAATTTATCCATACATAACATAAGGATAAAATTGAACTTTGATTCTTGCAATCACATCATACTTGTTTATTTAAAGGTCAACCATTACTCTTAGAAGTAAACCCATTAAAATATTGTGATGTAAGGATGTAAATTACAATGCGTCTAAATGTGAAGTTATTACTTAAATATCAAATGACACTGAATACGTGACTAAAAACTAAATAAGATTCATCAGTATTCAGCTGGAAAAATCAAGATCAGAGAGTGAGTACGATTTTTTCTGAGCTGTCTGATAGAGCTGGGTCTGAAAATTTGAAAACTTCACAAGATTGTGCTTAAAAAAAAAATCTGCTATTTTCTGATATTCTGTTTGCTTTTCAAGACACAGATGGTCATCTGAATGTGGACTGGCTTTAACCAGCCATGTAAAAATGATTTATGTAGGAAAATTAAATGAAACAAGGTCAAAGAACATCAGTGTGAAAAATAACAGTCAGAAAAATATATCTGTACTGTATCAATTTTTAATGTTATCTGATTTTATTCTGATTGCTAAGTGGATATATTCCTCATCCTCATTAAAACAACCTCACTGGAAAAAATGAAAAGGATTACACTCAAAGAGCATGGATATAATTCATGCCTAAAAGCAAATGCAGAAGATAATCAACTGTCTTAGGAGAAAGTGAAGAGGGCTCCTGTCTGAGCTGCAGCAGTGGGTCTGGAAACTGAGTTTGCATGGGACCAAAAAGAAAAGCAAGCTCCAAGTGGAACAGATGCTGAGACAAAGTACTTAAATGAATGACGGAATGCAATATCTGTCATCAAAGTGTGAGCTAGTAGCGTGTGACCTATTTAGTCTAGTGAAACAAAGGCTGAGAGAGGATAATATTGCTGTCTACAAAACCTTCCAGAGAGGTTTAAGCTTTGGGAGGAAGATCTTAAAGCAAAAGGATATATAGAATCATGGTTGTGAATACATTTAGACTAAAAATTCAAGACCAGTCAGGGAGTCAGAGCTCAAAAATGCATCTATTTAGCACAGGACATAAAACATAAGAGGAAAGCTTTACATTACTATAAAAATGTTAATCGAAGAAAACAGTTACTTTGCTGTGGCAAGAAAAATCTGTCAAACTATCATGCTGAGATCTTTGGTTTTGGTTTCTTTAAAAATACTTTAATGCCTTATTTTGGCCATTGAAAAGGGGAGTTGCAATCAACTGGCTAACATGCTTATTATCATTGACAAAAGCATACAGCTCCTGTCTGAAATTAAGAAGGAAGTTCTTTTGGTTATTTTTCAAATAACCAGATTTTTTTTTTTTTGTTATTTTTCAAATGCTCAGATTTGATAAAATTTACCAGGGCTACTTATACATGGAAATTTTCTCTAAGAACTTAGGTAGGTGGCTGAGTTTCCAAATCCAACCATTCTGATTGTATTTAAAAGTAGGGGTGGTAGTGAGAAAGGAAAACTGGACAACCAAGGCTATGGGTTTGACTGGCTTACTTTCAGCTTCTGGGAATAGGAAGTGTCACAGAAAATTACAAGGTGTTAACATCACCTAGACCAGTGACATATCTAATATTTGTACCTGGTAGGGAGTGCAACAGAAAATATTGTAGTAGATGTGAGTGTGTGATTGCGTGTGCTGAGTGTGTGTGTGCATGTACGGCAGCAGAGATCTAAGGGGACAGCAGCAAAGGAAACAAGACAAGTGAAGATTTCTGTCTAGGTAACCTCCCCAAGAAAAGACTATTAATTTATTATACTTTAAAAAAAGGTCACTATCTTTTAAAGCACCTTGTCAATGCACTCTCTTCATTAAGTTCCAGGTTGCCATATATCCCTCTCTGTTGAGTTTGGGAGTAAGCCAGCAAAATGTCCATTGATGGATGCTGTGCAAGAGCAAGGCAGAAAATAATGCCATGGAGTGTTTGTTGGTTTTGTCAGCTCAG